AGCCATATCTTTGAGAATAGATTTTACTTTTAAGAGCACTTTTAGGTTCACAGCAAAATGGACAGGAGGGTACAGAGGTTCCCCACCCCCAACCCCCACACATGCACAGCCTCCCCCAGTATCAACATCCCCCACCAAAGTGGTACGTTAGTTGCAATCGATAATAATGACATGTCATCACCACCCGAAGTCCACAGTTTACATTAGGGTTCACTCTTTGGTGTTGTACATTCTTTGCATTGGACAAATGGATCTGCCTATATAATTTTATACAGTTTAGTTTCACTCCCCTACAAATCCACTGTGCTTTGCCTGTGAAAATGCAGATTCCTGGGCCCACTCAGCCCTACTGGGTCCGAATCTTGGTGGCAGCCATCAGGGATCTGTATTTTTCATGTGCCCCAAATGACTTTGAGGTCATATATATGTGGACTGTGCTGGGAGTGACAGGCTCAGATGCTCTTTAATATTCCTTTCAGCTCCAGTGTTCATGATTCTAAGGCCAGGGAAGATGTCTAAGTTGTATACTTTTTTTGCAGCCAGGTGGGCTGGGGGGTTCCTGCTTCTAATGACTGTGACTTGGCAAAGACCTTCGCAGGTCCCTGGAGAAGATGACAGAACTGATAAACCCCACATCTGTGCCACACGGAAAAGGAGAGGAGGCAGAACTGGCCATGTGTCTGCCACATGCTGCCTGGGCAGGGAAAACCCCAGAATAGTCTGCTCGGGGGAACCAAAGAAGTCACCAGGACAGCACACCGTTTCCAAGCTGCTGAGAAATTACAGGGCGCCAACTGTCAGAGGCTCCTCACAATGTTTAATGCCATTTGTATGCTTCCTGCATCTCTCACTATCCTCTCCCTGCACATTTACTGAAAGTCCCCCTAGGTCAGTGATGGCGAACCTATGACACGCGTGTCAGAGGTGACATGCGAACTCATTTTTTGGTTGATTTTTCTTTGTTAAATGGCATTTAAATATATAAAATAAATATCAAAAATATAAGTCTTTGTTTTACTATGGTTGCAAATATCAAAAAATTTCTATATGTGACACGGCACCAGAGTTAAGTTAGGGTTTTTCAAAATGCTGACAGCTGAGCTCAAAAGGTTCGCCATCACTGCCCTAGGTTGTCAAAAAAAAAGCTGAGGATGAGCAAGGGAACACAGAAAATCTGGAGAGGGGGAAAACCTGGAGAGAAGCTGGAAGGCAGAGGCCGGGCCCGAGACAGAGAAACCCCCTGCCTGCTAACCTGGAGCCAGTAGCAGCAAAGGCCTGGCCTCTGGCTGGCTGGGGGCTTGGCCCTGGGTAGGCTGGCCGAGGCCAAGATGTCAGCCTTGATTTCTCACAGACCTGCCTCGCCTCTGTCAGCACCTGTCAAGGAGGCAGAGGGCCACCTCGGCCAGGAGGCCTCCAACAGAAGCCTCGGGTGGGGTCATAAGTAGAGGGAAAGTGGAAGGAGGAGGCAGTGTGTCCAAGCGGCCCAGGCAGAGTTCAGGGTGTCAGGTCAAAATAACAGGAAGAGACTGGGTCGGGGGTGGGCAGCCAGGACTGATGTTCGGAGGCTCTCCCCTATCCTCTCTGCTCCGCCATCCTGAACTCACTCTGTTCGCTTCTTCGTTATCGAAATCAGTGACTGACCATCTCTTAGGGGCCTGACCCTGTTCTAGGTGGGTACATCTAGGAACAGTGTCTGCCTTCGTGGACTGCTACTTTAGCGGGAAAGATGAACAATAAAGCTGAAAAACAAATACAAATATAATTATGGCCAAGTATTGATGAGTGCCATCGATGGGAGCAGAAGCACAGAGAGGGGAGGGAGAGTGAGTGGAGGCACCATTTTGGATGGGAGACTTGGGCAGAGC